CAACCCTGAGCTGTGCACTGGCCCAGCTGCCCAGGGCAGGGGTGGAGTCCCCATCCCTGGAAGTGTCCCAAAAACATGTGGATGTGGCACTGGGGAACACGGTCAGTGGTGGCCTTGGCAGTGCTGGGGGAATGGCTGGACTTGATGAGCTCAGAAGCCTTTTCCAACCTTAGTGATTCCATGATTCTCGGATTTTAGGGACAGCTCATGTCACTGGACCTGCTGTCCCACATTCCCAGAGAGACCCTCACACCACACTTTGGGCACAGTGGATCCCTAAATCCCCCCAAAACCCCAGATCACACACATTTGGAGTGTAGCTTTTCCACCAGCTCTTTTCTCCTCCTAATTCCCTGCCTCCTTTTTGGAGTCATTCCACAAAATCTGTGGTTCTTTATCTGCATGGAACTGATGCTCTCAGCAACACATCAACCACATTCCAAACAAAGCATTCCCTGTATCTGCAGCTACTCATGGCAGCTCTTCTGCATCAGCAAGGAAGAGTAAAATATTCCAATTATTCACCACAGTGAATCAGCATCTTCCAATCAAAACCACATTGATATCCAAAACTTCTGATCCTATTCCCTCCCTGCTTCCAGCTGAGTCTGCTATTCCAAGTCAGTGACTTCCAGCATTCGTTGAACTCCTCAAACTTTACTGTACCAGCACCTGGAATTCTCAGACTGCTGGAAAAAAAAAAAAAAAAAAGAAATGTCCTGAAAATACCCTGCGAAAATACAGCATCAAACCCAGGCACTTCTGGTGGAGAATCCTCACAATCACACCGGGAAGATGTTCTGGATAACACACTGAGTTACAAGCCCTGACTTTTAAAATCCAACTACTGGCATTCCCAATAAAATTATTATTCCAGCTGTGGCTGGACTAACTAATATTCCAGCTCTGGCTGGACTAACTCAGCCAGGAAAGAGCTGCAATGCTAAAAGTGAAGTAAGTCAGGTTAAAAACCCCCAGTGTTTGTACTACAAAGTGTTTGTTGTTCCTCATCTTTTGAGTCCCCAGCACGGGAAGGACATGGAGGTGTTGGAGTGAATCCACAGGAGTTCAGATTACAGGGATGGAGCAGCTCTGCTGTGAGGAAACATTGGGAGAATCGGGATTGCTCAGCCTGGAAAAGCAAAGGCTCTGAGGTGACCTAATTGTGGCCTTCCAGGACCTGAAGGAGCGACAAGGAACACAGAGAGAGACTTTGGACAAGGGAGGGAGGGACAGGACAAGGAGGAATGGATTCAGAATGGGAGAGGGGAAATTTAGGTTGGATATTGGGAAGGAATTCTTCCCTGGGAGGGTGGGGAGGGACTGGAATGGAATTCCCAGAGAAGCTGTGGCTGCCCCTGGATCCCTGGAAGTGTCCAAGGCCAGGTTGGAGCAATCTGGGGTATGGAAGGTGTCCCTGCCCATGGCAGGGGGTGGGAATGAGATGACCTTAAAGGTCCTTCCAACACAAACCATTCCATGATTCCATGATCAGTCTCATGAAGAGAAAGATAAAGCTCATGGATGGTCACTTTTGGAGATGCCCTTCTCTGAGGGGACAATCGGGGCCCCTCTGCTTATTTTAGAATTTTACCTAAATTTTACCTCCATTTTGACCCTGATTAAATCCCAGTACAGCCTAAACCCCCTAGAATTCCCAAACAATACCACAGGATTCCCACACTTTTAGCAAACATTCCTCTGTATTTGTGAGTTCATGGAAGAACATTCTGGAACGTCCTGGAGCGAAACACCCACTGTTTTATAGAGCTGTGCTTTCAGGCGGTACGAGTTGTATTCCAGCCTTCTCTTCTCCTCCTCCCTCTTCTTCTTCACCTCTGGAAGCTGCTCATAGATCCTGAAAGGAAGAAGAAAAAAAAAAAAAAGCCCTAAATAGTGATTTGGGACTTAGTGATATTACAAAAAACAAATAAACAAACAAACCATCCTCTGTTTTCTGCTCCCGTTCTCTTAAAGGCTCCTGGCCAAGCACATCCCTGAAAAATCTATTTGGGGGGTTTCCCAGGGAAAATGTGGAACACAGAGAGGTGAGACAGGACATTCCCACATCCCATAAAGTCTTTTTCTTACAAGCAGCACATCCCAAAAGCATTATCTGTAAGATTAAAATGACCAGGCAGCTGACACGAGCACCCAGCTGAAAGAGGTAGAGCCTTGATATCTTCCCTACAGAATAATTCCAGGGGATTTTCCCGACTGGTTGTGCTGATTCCCAGTGATGGGCCCATTCATCCGTGGCAAGATTTTATCACAGGAATAACCTGACTGAGCCTCGTTAGGCAGCTTTTCCAAACTGCAGTGTTTTCAGTAATGTGGTGCTGCTGATGAACCTTTCCCAAATGTTCTTTTAATCATGGAATCATGGAAGAGTTTGGGTTGGAAGGGACCATAAAGATTATGCAGTCCCACCCCCTGCCATGGGCGGGGACACCTTCCACCAGCCCAGCTTGCTCCAACCTGGCCTTGGACACTTCCAGGGATCCAGGGACAGCCACAGCTTCTCTGGGAATTCCATTCCAGTCCCTCCCCACCCTCCCAGGGAAGAATTCCCTCCCAATATCCAACCTAAATTTCCCCTCTCTCAGTCTGAAGCCATTCCCACTTGTCCAGTCCCTACATTTCCCAAGGAAGGGTCTCTCTCCAGATTCCTTGGAGCCCCTTCATACACACTGGAAGGTGCTGGAAGTTCTCCTCTCCAGCTGAACATTCCCAGCATTCCCAGCCTGTCTCCACAGGGAAGGTGCTCCAGTCCCTTTAATCAACTTGCTCCAACAGTTTCCATGTCCTCCTGGATGGATTATTATTCCAAGTGGGATCTCACTGATTTCTTTTCACACCCAGTTCATCCCCTTTTCCCACCCCAGGGCACTGATCCCGCTGGAATTCAATCCCCTTCAATTTACCTTTTAGACCTTTGGACCATTTCACTCCTTGGAATTGCTCTTCTTTTTTCCCTCACTGGAAAACCTACATGGAAAATTCCAAGTGAAGGGAACGATGAACAAGTTCACTGATCACCAAGACTTCTAAGTTTTATAGAAGTCTTTCTAAAAAAACATCCTTTGTTCAAACTCTTTATAAAAAGTCTTCCCAAAAAGCTCTCTATAAAGATTTTTTTCTAAGGGTTTTATAGAGAATGAAGTTAAATCATTGCAGCATTTCTATTAAAAACACACACAGCAAGTACAGTGTGGGAATTCATTCAATTAATGACTCAACGGGAATTAAAATTTAAAATTAAAGCTTGAATTAATGGCTGGAAACTACATGAAATTTAAAATTAAAAGTTGACAATGAATCAATTAAAATTTCATTAAATTAATGAATTATAGTGAATTGAAATTTAAAACTTAATTGATGAATTAAAATACCACTACACTACTGAATTAAAAGCAATAAAAGCTGAAGTGAAAAACTGAATTATTGAATTAAAATTTCATTGAATTAAAATAAATTCAAATTTATAATTAAAATAAATTAAAAATTCTTTAGAGTTCAAATGAATTCAAATTTAGAAATAAAATTGAATTAATGAGTTAAAATTTCATTAAATTAATGAATGAAAATGAATTGAACTTTAAAATAAAAATCTGAAATAATATATTTAAAATTTGTTAATGAGACAAGATGAATTCAAATTTAGAATTAAAAACTGAATTAATTAAAAATTCATTAGAGTTCAAATGAATCAAAATTGAATTGATGAATTAAAATTGAATTAATGAATTGAAACTAATTGAAATGTAAAGATTGAATGAGTTAAAATTTTGTTAAATTAATGAATTGAATTGAAATTTAAAATTATAAACTGAATTAATGAACTTAAAATTCATTAATGAGGTAAAATAAATTCAAATTTAGAATTAAAACCTGAATTAATTAAAAACTCACTAGGGTTCAAAAGAATTAAAAATGAATGAATGAATTAAAATTAATTGAAATTTCAAGTTTAGAAATTAATTTAAAATTCATTAATGAGGTAAAATGAATTCAAAGTTAGAATTAAAATTGAATAAATGAATTAAAATTTCATTAAATTAATGAATTAAAATGAATTGGAATTTAAAGTTAAAAATTGAATCTGTTAAAAATTTCATTAAATTAATGAATCAAGATGAAATTTAAAATTAAAACCTTAATTGATTAAATTAAAATTCTTTAATGAGGTAAAACGAATTCAAAATTTAGAATTAAAAACCGAAGGAATGAATTAAAATCTCATTAAATGAACGAAAACGAACAAAAAAAATAAAATGAAAAATGGAATTAACTAAATTAATTTAAGGAATTGAAAGGTACCTCTGTCGGCCAGCAGGTGAGTGGAACTCCTGCAGCCTTTTCTCTTCCCGAGAGAATTCCCCAGCTCTTCCCGCTGGGATTGCAGCCCCCTCTGGATCCTCCTCTCCTCCATCACCAGCTTGAGGTGCTTCACTCGCTCCCCGGAGCGGGAGATGAAATCGGGGCGATGAACGGCCAGAGCCTCCTGAGGGGGGACAAAACACAGCCTGGGGTGCCCAAAGGGTCCCAAATATCCACAAGAATTCCAAAGCATGGGAAAAAAAAACTCCCCATCGTAATAGTTGGTGTGACGTGGAAAAACTTGTGACCTTAATGGTTAATAATTTGGTGACAAAGAGGAAATTCAGTGGACAGAGAGAAATGAAATGTGAAATAGGAATAAAATAGGAATAAAAAGGGCAAGGGAAAAGGGGAGAAAGGAAAAGGGGGG